AAAAAATAGTCCAAAAAAATTGTCCAATAGTCCAGGGATCCAATGGTCCAATCTATATTTTACCTTATGCCGTCAACAAACCTGTACTTTCAGACTGTTTTACTAACACACTTCCTGAGCAATAGTTTGGTGGTTTTTTTTTGGGAAAATCTGCTAATGACTAATGACAAACACGTTTTGTTGTTTCTGACTGCAGTGGATACAATATTGGGTTGTTATTAGAGGCGTTTGGATGTTGTTCTACAGAGATCAAGCTACAACTAACCGAGATAATGTAAGTTAGTAAGTCTTCGTCAGGAAGTAAGTGATCATCATTTAACATGTTTAACTTTGCGTCTCTAGTTTGCAATCAGTATCTTCAGTGCTAATCAAGTCAGCGAGACGTAATTTAGCTGTTAAAAGTAGATTTCAGCCTGAGGTAGAGAGATTATAACGGCTAAGAATGTGGCTATGATACCGAAAGTTGTAACTTAATTCAGAATTTTCTTTGTTTGTTATATTTTTAGCATTTGTTTGAATTGGTAGCCATTTACGTAAGTAAAATGATATCCCGTCTTTGTACTTTGAAAAATGCATTAATTTATTCAAAAACTTGTTCTACATCTGAAACTCGACACTTCTCTTGGCTTGGAAACAAATATTACTTACATCGTTTTCGAAACCTTCTGCTTTTTGTGGATCGAAAGATCCCTTTTTAAAGGAAAAGTTTGTAATGAACGTGGCTTTTACTAGTCAACTGGAAGAGTTTTTACACAAGGTTTTCTGATAAGCGGAATATTTGCTGCAAATTGGAAGCAAAGGTCACTTTGGAACTTTTCCAAACACCACAAACTTCCGCGAGAGGCTTTTATGACCAGCTGTCAAAAACAATCTACATGCTGTTTAACAGAGCTTGCGGTGAAATCGATACTGGGTAATAAACTTTGGATTTACATAAAGAATGATAAGTACGCGAGAAGGAAGAAGCTCTCAAGTAGAAAAATAATAGAAAAGATCCTAAGAAAACATTGCTTGACAAGCAGATAACAAAACGTGCTTTAGTAATTACCTAAGAGGAAAAACAGTCAATCTTGTTCAACTGTTATCGGTGACTGATGATGAAACAAATCTGACTTCCTTGTTAGGTTCAGTAAGTTCAGCTCATTATGTCGGAGATGAAGAAGTTTTGAGTGGGGTGAAGGGAGGGAGAGAGGGAGGGGGGAAGGGAAGGAGGGAGAAGGGAGGGAGGGAGGGTGGACTTACGAGTGAAGATACTAAAAAAGGAAAACCTTTATGAGCGAAGTTAACACATTCAATACAATGGAAGGGCTTATTAGTGCATAAGTAAACCAAGCTCGTTGCGTAATGGGCAAAATATGAAGATAAGTATACAAAAAACAAAGGGTCGTACTCAACCTAAAAGTATGAACTAGTTTTGAATAAGTGCATGGTTGTTCCTTTTTATCGTATGAAATTTCTGGGTTGATTCAGGGCCGTTTAGCTCGGTTTTAATTAACCTGTTTTTCCCTCTATAATAGAAAAAAAAATCCCTGTATTTCACCCATTGCGCAGTGCAAACGTTTTTACGGAGCTTAAGCTACCTGTGGTCAGACTTTGGACATAGTAACCCATCTGACTCTTGAGCATTAAGCATTGTTTGAGTATTGTAACTATCCTTGGATGGGGTGCAAGTTCACCTCAATCTCAATTACCCGCAGAGTTTCTTTTAAGTTTCACTGTGAGTTTACCGGTGACCATTTAGGTCAGGGTAAAGTGTCAAACAAGACTTAAGTTTTTTGTTTATGAACGCAACGCAATGGCTCAGCCTAGGTTCGAAACCAGACCTCACAACTTGGAGTCTATGGCAGTAGCAATAGCGCCGCTTTGTTCTCCAGATGGGCTCATAGGATGAACTGATAGCTGGAGGGTGTACGTAGTACAAGCGGAATGTCTCACGGTACCCACACATCCCATCTTGCTTCGTGTGTAACTAAGGAATATCATCAAAAATCGTTGTGTTATTTTGCAGTTTAAAGGTTCCGTCGAACTAACGTCATGCACAAAGTGCAACACAGCGAGAAGAGGAAATTATAGCTTTCCGTTCTTTGTCGTCACAGCGAGAGGAACACATCTCTTCAAGGTTACATATTTGTCTTTTGTACTTAAAATGTTGATAAGTAAGTTCCTTAGGCCCAATATCAGATCGGAAAGTCCTTCCAAAACTGCTGACACTTAAGCTGGATCATTTATTGTAAGGCATGCATTCGTTAACTACGATATCTTTGCTCATGCGGACTTTGCCTACGAGAGGTGAGCACTTAAGCCGTGA